GATGGTCTATTTTTTTTATTATTGTATTTCATGAATTTACATATCGTATTAGAAATTTTATTAGAGATTTTAATAGATAACACTGATAGAGATGGTTTTACTATTGCTTATTATACTTGGTTCATTTTTGCTTTTCAATATTTGTTCTAAATTTTTGTTTCCTTTTTTCATATAATTAATTCGATTTTTGGTCGATTTCCATGAATTCAAAAATAAATTCACAAATATTTATTAGTTAGAAAAAGATATTCGACGCGAAACATAACCAACTCTGAGATATGGATGAAATATAGTCACGTGTCTCTAAAACAATATGGCTGCCCCTTCCAAATGATGGCCATGATGTACTGCTCCATTTGGCATTATCTTTATTAATAAATTAGCGTATATAGTGTCGACTGAGCCCAAATTACTAAAATATTAAATTGACAATATTTGTATTTAGATTCAAGAAAGAAAAATTCTATGATAAACGCAAATTTCTTAGTTTCGATACAAGTGAATTAAAAAGAAGACTATTTCCTTCGAATCAATTAATTTTCCAGTTATGTCGCAACAAAATATCTACATACATAATTTTAAGCTTCCTTCATATTTTGCAAGGAAATATTATCTGCTGTTCATTAATATTTCATTTATCTCATTAGCTCATTATACAGGGTGTTTGGCCACCCCTGGGAGAAATTTGAATGGGAGATTCTGGAGGTCAAAATAAGACGAAAATCAAGAATATCAATTTGTTGATTGAGGCTTCGTTAAAAAGTTATTAACAATTAAATTCGAAAATTTCAAATCGTTCTGGAAAAATTATTCTTAGTTTCAGGGGTCAATTATAATCATTTTTGGTCAATAGATATACCTCCGAAATTCTACTCACTTTCGAGAAAAAAATTCGAGAAGGTGTGATATTCTTCGACGGGAAAAAAAATTTCAAATCTTTGTGGAAAAATTATTTTTAGTTTCAGGGGTCAATTACAATCATTTTTGGTGAATAAACATACCCCCGAAATCGTACTCACTTTCGAGTAAAAAATTCGAGGTGTTGACATTTTTCGGCGAAATTAAAAAATTTCAAGTCGTTCTGAAAAAATTATATTTAGTTTCAGGGGTCGATTTCAATCATTATTGATGAATACACATACCCCCAAAATCCTGACCATTTTCGAGAAAAAAATTCGAGTATGTGCTGAAATTTTTCGGCGAAAAAAAATTATTCAAATCGTTTAAAAAAAATATTTTTAGTTTCAGGGGTCAATTACAATCAATTTAGGTGAATAGACATACCCTCCAAATCCTAACCATTTTCGAGAAAAAAAATTCCTTACTGAAAATATACTGTGTTGCCAGAAATGTTTGTTTAACTTTTTAACGAAGCCCCAATTAACAAATTAGTATCCTTAATTTTCATCTTATTTTGGCCTCCAGAGTCTCTCCCATTAAAATTTTTTCTCAGAAACGGTCGAACACCCTGTATAATGAGCTCCAAGTTACGTAGTATATTTTACAAGCCAAATTGATATTTGCCGAATAATTACTGCGGCCCTATTTGTTCTATAAACCGTAACAGAGTATAGTATGGAGGTTTAGGACATAGTGTTTCGTCGCATAAATTAGAATTCGGTGATGCACGGGTTAGGATGACACGCAGAATTCAGATGACAGGATTTCACGACCCGGAGATGGGTTAATTTGCAGTGAAAACATTTCGTTCGAGGGGTTGGCAGGGCTTGAAAATTGTTATAATATAGGTTTGGGTCTTTGAAACAACTGTGAAGAACCTAAATTCCATACTGTATTTAAGTTAAAGTTCCTCCACCAGCTCTCATAGAGCTTTTGAAACAATTTTGAAGCTACATGTATAATATAAATATGTTTTCAACGACCAAATCAGATATTGGTTGTCTTCTCGAGATATTTACACTTGGGACAGATTTAGGATCTATTTAGAATCTAAAAAATAACAGTCGTAGATACAGCTTAACTTTTAAGTTCTTCAAAAACCCTTTCAAGACTTGGCACATTGTCAGAGTGATCTCCAGCGTGAATTTCGAAAATTAGAGATTGAATCGGGAAGAAGGCACGGATTTTTAGGAGATTCTAGACGGATGGTAGCAGAGTCAATAGACATTGAAATGGAGAACTGTTTATCAAGTAAATGGGGCGAACCGCCGACGAGGAGTTACGAATGAAATGGATTTTAACTTTGATTGATGAGATGCACACTTTTATCTCGAATAATAGGTCGATTCCAAATGGCAACCAATTGACACGAAGTTGCAACAATTAGAAGCAAACATTTTGTTACATTAACGAGTGTACTTGCAGAAATCAATTCAAACCGAGCATACGAAAACAACCGAAGAAAACTCTTTTTTTACGATTTCCCAGAAACCAAACAATTTCATTTAATTATTTTTTAACGAGAAATATTAAATCCTGCGAGAATATACCACGATAAACGAGCTTGGAGATACAGAACCTCAAAGGTTGAATTAATAAGTACAAAAATTAGGTGAAAATGCATCATTTTTAGACACTTTTTAAGTCCAACTTTCAAATTTAGCAAATAGAAAAAGAAACAACACTTATTTGCAACAATTCATTGCAATAATTCATTAACAATTCGAATATTTAAACATAAAACTTGAATTCGTACAGGTTCTTGAAAATCTAAATCTAATCCTTCAAATCCTGAATTCTGAGCTCGTTTTGTTCGGTCGTTGTTTGATACAAAAATTCTATTATGGGAGCTGTTCGACAATAACAATGTTTGGATGTGTAAATAGCTATATTGTCAGTTTTACTTCCATTTTTCCTTTCCAATGTGATGGAATAAAATTATTCTAGTTCCTCTGCAAAATTGAAATTTGTTTTATGTAGTGAAAAAACTGAATAACATTTTTAAATTTTTGTTTCGTTCAAATAAAGTCATTAATAATAAGGTTATCCACTTTTAATTATAGCATTTTTTAAATGGTTGAGTACCGAAAAACTTGGATAATATTGATTATTTCATTTAATATTTGCTGTATCCATAAATAAACTCTATTTAATTATTTCTACATACATTTAACAAAACATTTTTTTCCGTGTTTCTTACAATTATTTAGTTCGTGACACCCAAGTACTGTTTTTCTAATAAAATATTAAAACGAAAACTCTCACAGTGAAGTCCCAAAACTACCTTAAACCAGAGATAGATTAATAAAATTTCTCTTGTAAAAGGTATAATTATGATTTTTAATTACACGCGCCAGTCCTGTCATTAAACAAGTGAAGTCTTAATACACGTTACTGTTCGCGCCATGGTAAATTAATTAAAACGTTGACAATTATTATTTTCTATTTTAATTATTCTACTGCAAGTATGTACTCCGCTCTCGTATTTTATTATAATGACAAATTTTAATTCGAAATATAAACTTAAAATTATTCATTGTTAAAATTTCGTTCGCTTAATTTCGAAAAATTTCTATAAAGAATGGATTTATCATAAAATTGAACTAATAAAAACAGTGAACGGTTACGTTCGAGACCTTCGAGAAACAGATATCCAAGATGGCGTCGACTAGTCGGGACGTCGGTTGGAAAAAATAAAAGCAATTTAAAACTGAATTTAGTGAATTTTTAAACGGTATCTCGACGGATCAACAATTTTCAAGAGAGAAGACAGTCACTGAGGATGGAAGAAGACACGGAGGAAGTAATCAGTTACTCCTGAAACCTTCGAGAAACAGATATCCAAGATGGCGTCGACTAGTCGGAAACGTCGGTTGGAAAAAATAAAAGCAATTTAAAACTGAATTTAGTGAATTTTTAAACGGTATCTCGACGGATCAACAATTTTCAAGAGAGAAGACAGTCACTGAGGATGGAAGAAGACACGGAGGAAGTAATCAGTTACTCCTGAAACCTTCGAGAAACAGATATCCAAGATGGCGTCGACTAGTCGGAAACGTCGGTTGGAAAAATAAAAGCAATTTAAAACTGAATTTAGTGAATTTTTAAACGGTATCTCGACGGATCAACAATTTTCAAGAGAGAAGACAGTCACTGAGGATGGAAGAAGACACGGAGGAAGTAATCAGTTACTCCTGAAACCTTCGAGAAACAGATATCCAAGATGGCGTCGACTAGTCGGAACGTCGGTTGGAAAAAATAAAAGCAATTTAAAACTGAATTTAGTGAATTTTTAAACGGTATCTCGACGGATCAACAAACTTCAAGAGAGAAGATAGTCACCGAGGATGGAAGAAGACACGGAGGAAGTATACAGTTACTTCTGAAACCTTCGAGAAACAGATATCCAAGATGGCGTCGACTAGTCGGAAACGTCGGTTGGAAAAAATAAAAGCAATTTAAAACTGAATTTAGTGAATTTTTAAACGGTATCTCGACGGATCAACAAACTTCAAGAGAGAAGATAGTCACTGACGATGAAAGAAGAGACGGAGGAAGTAAACAGTTACTTCTGAAACCTTCGAGAAACAGATATCCAAGATGGCGTCGACTAGTCGGAAACGTCGGTTGGAAAAAATAAAAGCAATTTAAAACTGAATTTAGTGAATTTTTAAACGGTATCTCGACGGATCAACAAACTTCAAGAGAGAAGATAGTCACCGAGGATGGAAGAAGACACGGAGGAAGTAAGGTCGATGACATGCATGGAGTAAGAGTGGTTCGAAGATGTATTCCAGCGATTAAAAGCGAAAATTAACGTCTTTCAGTCTGGCGAACACCAGACTCGGTATTATTTTAATATCTGCCCGCTTTCCGCGACGATACCGCAGTGAATCGATCGTGGCATTATTTCAAAACGCTGCGAGCAACTCAAGCCCCCCTCCCTCTCCTCTTCATCCTCCACCAACCCTCGTACTGCACGCGTTGTATATAGACGCGATGCAAACGGTGCACACGAACGACGCTGCGGTATCCGATCGTTGACGCGTTTTAATGCATCATTATCGCGCGACCATTGTATCGTTTAATTGTTTTAACAGCGCTATCCGGCTGACCGGTCCATTCGTAACCATGGTCTACAGCATGATAACCGGGGACATGTTGACTTTCGGGATAATCTACATGGTGGTGCTGTTCGGTTTTTGCCAGTCGTTCTACTTTTTGTACAAAGGCTTCCCGGGAGTGAAATCATCCCTCTATAATTCCTATCACTCGACCTGGATGGCACTGTTTCAGATAACCCTCGGCGATTATAACGTAAGCTACGTCGTAAATCACCGTTTTATTGTCGCAACGCAGCCCATTTCTATCACCCACGCTTATACACGCTTCCCCTCTACGCGGGGGTAAACCTTACCTCGGTTTAATTTTTTTTTTTTTTAATATCGTTCGCACTTACACTATTTGGCGGGAATATAATTCCTGTAAAAGGGTTACTAAAACGATTGGTTTACAAAAAAAATACGTAAATAAGATTCGAAAATGAAAACACAGGGTGAGTTTGGTATTTAAGTCTGGGGGGTTGGGTCTGTGTTAGGTCTTGGCTTAATTTTTTTTTTTTAATTTCGTTCGTATCAATTTACACTATTTGACGAGAATATAATTACTGCAAAAGGGCTAATGAAATTAGTGGTTTGTAAAAAAAATACGTAAATAAGATTCGAAAATGAAAATACAGGGTGAGTTTAATATTTATATTGAACTTCTAGATATTATAAATATAATATTATATATTATATCTATATTACATTAAATTATAGATCTATAATTTTTCCCTCATGGAAGATGAAAAGAAAAGATTGTTAAGAGAAATATAAAAGCTGATGTTCGTTTCAATCTGTCAAGTCAAATGCTTTTGTACGTTTATACCCTGGGAAATATTTTATTTTTAATATTACTTCGCTCTTCAGAAATTTTTCAAACTACACTCTCCCACAACATTAAACTATCAACAAATACAAAAAGGACCTTTAATTTTAATTTAATTTTTGATTTTATGTCCCGGTACTTTAACATAGCAAGGATATGCAATTATAGGCAAATTTTAAAATTTGAAGAATTTCTGAAATTGTAAAAGAAAATTGACTATCTTTTAAAGCATTGAATTTTCGATTACCTTATTTAATTTGTATATCTAACGATTATTTCATTAATTTTGATTATACATATTTTATTTACAAATCGTTGCAAATGCAAAATGATTGCAAAATTTAAAAATAAAATTAGAAACATTAAATTATCTTCTTGATATTAGGTGCCAAGTGGTGGTCTTTTTTAATAAAATAATAACTGTTTTGTGATTTAAATATAATTGATAACTAACAAGCAGAATTTACCAAAGTTATATAAAATGATCGATAACAATTTAAAACCATAGAAGATATGAAATATTTGTGCTATATATAAATCCTTGTTAAAATATTTAATAATGGTGGTTCAGGAAATATTAAATTGAATGAAGAGAAATTGTCAATAAATTTTGAGGCTTCCAACGTTATTATTAATAAAACTTTTAGCTCATAGTAGAACCAGCTATAGATTTCACGTTACGTTAACAAAATTAATATAAGTCGTTAATTTAACTCGAAAATCAAAATTAATTTTGAGAATATAATACTATATTTTTGTCGCGGACTGTATGAGCGTGATATCATACATTTTATAGTTGACTCCCTCGACGAGCCTGCCTCCTGGCATAAATTTTACGATGTTGTACAGCTGATATTTTAAATTGGTCTACTTTAGCGATACCTTTTAAATTTCATCGCGATCCCTTCACTCGTTTCCCCCCGCATACAGTAGTAAACAAACAAATACAACTGAGTTTTATCTAAACCTGTTTAATACTTTACCCACTGTGAGTCAATCCGGTCAATCCTGATGCAAACGGAAGAAAGTGGTGTCGATTCGAACGAAATTCCGTAGACTCTAACCTGGAACAAACAAACAAACCGTCAGATGGAGAAAAATTCTTTAGTTTTAACAGGAAAACTAGACCATTTCAATCACTGTCGAGAAAAATGTTTCATAGAATGGGTAGTTAACAAGTAAGTTTTATTCGTAGTAAAAATATTATATATTCGAGAGTAAGGAGATCGGTGAAATATTAAGTATCACGTTGCTAACCTTAAAACTGCTTTGTTTCGAGCTGCGACACGGGAGACGACCTAACTGCGTGTCGCCTGGCGTCCGCTCGCAGCGCCCTCACCTCGATCTACCGAACTTACGCTTCCGCTACTACGCTAGTCATACACTACAGTTCAAGTTTTCTTATTATTAAAGGATAGAGGAAACTTTAATATTTATAATTTTTCGAAGAACTGGGAGCAGAGTCGTATCGGTGGTGAACCTAATTAGGAAATACCTAAAGGCTACTTGAATCGATAGCAGTTTCAAGTATACATATGTATATATAGTATAGTTTTACTCTTCCATCATGTAGCCATTAGGTAGCATAGTATGTTTTCCAAGGAGGGACTGATTCTGTTCAAGACCACTCACTGGCAATATCGAATCGATCACTGTTGTCCACAATATCAGGGATCTTATTCAAAGTGAAGTATGTCTCATTCTATACGAAGCAAAACAGCACAAGTTATCATTTTGCTGTTCTCAAAAATATTAACAAAATATAAACCCCTCAAAGTTGACACTTTCCACTAATTTTCACGAAAAGTACCTCTCCAAAAGTATTTTTTATTCTATAAATAACTAATATAGAAATTTTATTTAACTAATTTTATATTTTATTCGAATAGTCGTAAATGATACCCTTTCAAGTGAAAGTGAGTTTATTAAAATTTCAGATTTTCTTGTCAACCGATTGATTTCGCCTTTCGAATTATTTTCTCATCAAATATAGGGGGTGGCGCGGTTGAATTTGTTTGTCGAAAAATAAGGTTCACCCCGACACGTACAACGCACGGTTTTTTCAATTTTGCTTTATTTATTCACTTTGGCTGTGCACCGCAACAGATTTATCGGTGGCCATCGAAGGAGTGCATCAACCCGATTGCATCAACCGGCGAATTCGTCGTCGCGGACGGGTTGTTTTGGTCGCTCGAGGCACACGGAGAATCACGTTTCTGGAAAACGTGCCACGGATAAAACGAGCAAAGACACTGGCTGCGCCCGGCGAAAGAAGTTGAATGACGAGAAGTTCGGTCAATTTTATAAATTGTGCAGCACGTAAATAGAACTTGAACTCGCCCAACGGGCGTTCCCAGCGCGGTTCTTGCCTCCGAGTAACAGTGGAATAACGAAAGATGTGAAACGCCGCTCGTAAATCAATGGGAAATCAGAATACTTGCCCATTCCCTTCTTTTTGTTTCCGTTTTCTAGCTGAACGCGGTTTCTTGCGATTCGCGGAAACCTGCCGGGACGTTGTTGAAAACGAGAAATCAGTTTGTTATTTATCTTAACCTGAAAAGAGAGCTCGATCTTAAAAATATACGGTTTCTTCAAATTTGTTGTGTTTAAGAAAATGTTATTCTGTGGGTCTGCTTATCTGAATGTTGGTATTATAAATTTGTTAATAGATACTGACTTAGAAATGAGTTTATTTGACATTTCCAACAATTAAATTCCACAAGATACTATTTAAAATCAGAAAACTACCAGACAGAAATCATTTTACATTATGGTGAGACAGTATGACGCCATTTTCTATTTTTAAGTGGAGGAGTCGAGAGCTCAACAACTTTTCTCAAAATGGAATGATATATTCTAAGACTAAATAACTGAATAATATACCATTTTAATTAGAAAAAACAGTAAATAAATATTTTATCTCAGATTCTGTACTTTTGAAAATGAAGTATTATATTTGTTAAAAAGATTCTTCAACACAGTATTTGAAGGTAATTGAAAATATTTGTGCCACACTATAAATTGTATTAATCTCATAAAAGAAAAAGGAAAAATTCTGATATTCATAAATAGTAAACAAATATTTTATCTTAGAAAGTGTACTTTTTAAAATAAGGTATTATAGTTATTGACAAAATTTTTCAACACTAAAAAATTCTTCTTATCAAAATAAAGTATTATATTTCTTGAAAATCTTATTATGCCTTTTGACCAAATTTTTCAGCACAGTAAATAATTCTTCAACAAGATAAAGTATTCTATTTGTTGAAAAGATACTTCAACACAGTATTTGAAGGTAATTGAAAATATTTGTGCCACACTATAAAATGTATTAATCTCATAAAAGAAACAGGAAAAATTCTGACATTCATAAATAGTAAACAAATATTTTATCTTAGAAAGTGTACTTTTTAAAATAAGGTATTATAGTTATTGGCAAAATTTTTGAATACAGTAAAAAATTCTTCAACAAAATAAAGTATTATATTGTTTGAAAATCTTATCATATCTTTTGACAAAATTTTTCAACACAGTAAAAACTTATTCAACAAAATAAAGTATCATATTTGTTGAAAAAACTTTTCAACACACTATTTGAAGTCACCTGAAAATTTTTGTGGTAGAATATAAGATAATCTAAGATCTTCTTCTGATATAAGACGTATTAAAAAATCCTCCAGACAAAGCTTCATAAAAAGTGTCATCAACATAGTAAAAAATTCTTCAACCAAATAAAGTATTATATTTGTTGAAAATCGTATCATCCTTCTTGACAAAATTTTTCAGCACAGTAAATATTTCTTCGACAAAATAAAGTATATTATTTGTTGAAACGACTTTTCAACACAGTATTTGAAGCTATCTGAAAATATTTGTGCTAGGATATAAGTTCTTCTTCTGATAGATGACGTATTAAAAAATCCTCGAGACAATGATTCATAAAAAGTGTCTTAGAATCTTATCATACTTTTTGACAAAATTTTTCAACACAGTAAAAAATTCTTCAACAAAATAAAGTCTTATATTTATTGAAAATCTTATCATGCCTTTTGTCAAAATTTTTCAGCAAAAAAAAATAATTCTACAACAAAATAAAGTATTTCATTTGTTGAAAAGACTTTTCAACACACTATTTGATATTACCTGAAAATATTTGTGCTAGAATATATGCTCTTCTTCTAATAGATGACGTATTAAAAAATTCTCGAAACAAAGCTTCATAAAAAATGTCTTGAACACAGTAAAAAATTCTTCAACAAAATAAAGTATTCTATTTGTTGAAAAAACTTTTCAACACACTATTTGAAGTCACCTAAAAATATTTGTGGTAGAATATAAGATAATCTAAGATCTTCTTCTGATATAAGACGTATTAAAAAATCCTCTAGACAAAGCTTCATAAAAAGTGTCATCAACATAGTAAAAAATTCTTCAAACAAATAAAGTATTATATTTGTTGAAAATCTTATCATCCTATTTGACAAAATTTTTCAGCGCAGTAAAAAATTCTTCAACGAAATAAAGTTGAAAAGATTTTTCAACACACTATTTGATATTACCTGAAAATATTTGTGCTAGAATATAAGATCTTCTTCTAATAGATAACGTATTAAAGAATCCTTGAGACAAAACTTCATAAACAGTGTCTTCAACACAGTAAAAAATTCTTCAACAAAATAAAGTTGAAAAGATTTTTCAACACACTATTTGAAGTTACCTGAAAATATTTGTGCTAGAATATAAGCTCTTCTTCTGATAGATAACGTATTAAAAAATCCTCGAGACAAAGCTTCCTAAAAAGTGTCTTCAACCCAATAAAAAATTCTTCAACAAAATGAAGTATTTCATTTGTTGAAAATATTTTTCAACACACTATTTGAAGTTACCTAAAAATATTTGTGCTAGGATATAAGCTCTTCTTCTAATAGAAGACGTATTAAAAAATCCTCTTGGCAAAGCTTGGTAAAACCGATCAAAAATAAAAGCAACCCGGATCGAGTGACCGTCATAAATAATTAAAGTAATCGAATAACGTGGCTCGTTCTGTACACGCTCCCGTGATCCGCGTTCCGGCGTACAGCCGTGTATCTTCCACGTAATTATCAAATCGATTACGGTCGCGCAAAAGTTTATTCGATTAAAAATAGCGCCGGGGAACGCGACGATCAACGTTTCCATCGCGCCGCGCGTAAATATCATCAGCACGGTAAACTTCCAGCCGCGTTATAATTGTTAAATTCTCGCAACGGCAAGTGTAAATTTTCCCCAGCGAAAACCGCCTATTTTTCTCCAGCCCAGCGTCGATCGAACTGGACGTCCACGCATGGAGTCTTGAATTTCAATCACGGATAATCTATCCCGTTTCGCGCCAACTGCATTACGTTCCCTATTTTTCCTTCCCGTTTACCGGCGATTTATTTCCCCAGCGTCGAAATTAGAGACACGGCTTGCACCTACACCGATATCAGTTTCATAAAACACTCGACGTTCGGTAGAAATCATTGTGCTCGGTTTTTACAGTTTGTATCGCAATTCGCTCCGATGCGTCGAATTAAAAAGTGGAACGCATCGGGAGGAATACGGATCCCGGGTCGAAAATCCGCCCGTTGGTTCCAGCGTTTCGCGCACTTGCTCGTGACATGATTATTTTTACCGATCTGTTGCACCGTGTGCAGTTTATTTTTTTCCCGACTGCTTCTTTTCTCTCGTTTTGTTCCAGTACACGGACCTCAGCTACACGACCTACCCAAACCTGGCCAAGACGGTGTTCGCCATTTTCATGGTGCTGGTCCCCATACTGTTGCTGAACATGCTGATCGCTATGATGGGCAACACTTATGCTCACGTCATCGAGCAGAGCGAAAAGGAATGGGTCAAGCAAGTAAATACAATATTAATTGTTATCCTACAAATTTCATATAAAAAAAAAATCCCATGGAAAATTGTTACTTGACTCGAGAATAATAATCGTGAAATCTGAATCAAATTATATGATAAATTATTGTTTTTTTTTTTGTAATTTTGTAACAGCACCGACTGCATGGTCTTTGGCTGATTATTATGTTTGTGAGCGAAACTTTTCTTCTATTTTTAGTAATAATTATGGAAGATGATGAATGGTTTTTGAATTTCATTACCCCTTTTATGATTGATAAGATAATTACAATCACTTTAAGAAATTTTTCATCTTATAATAGCTGTTAATTAGCAATCGATTAACGAAAGAATAGCACAAGTGTAATAGGACAGAATTGGTGGTAAAATGAAAATGTTTTTTTTTAAATTTTGTTATTTAACGTCGCATCAACCACTTTGTGGATTATTAGCGTCTCAGGTAGACCATAGTCTGTTGTATAGTCTTGTCAGTTTGAGATATTGTAGGAGGTTCTTTTGGTTGTGTTGTTATTTATCAGGTTGTTTTTCAAGATGGGTTTTATGCTACATAATTATTCGAGTGTCATAAGCACATTCATATCTTTTATAAAACATGAATATGTCTATAGTAAATGAATAATTGTCCAAAGCAAAGAAAATGAAAATAGAATACAGTTACTTCCACTCGTATTCGTACACTATAATGGTGATTCACTATAGATGCAAGAAAGTTGTTTCTTATGAATTGAGTCTTCGTTTTTGGAACTGGTATAAATTCATTTTTTCATAAATTGAGATATTTAAAGTTTTGTATTTCAATAAATTACAAACAAAATTTGACAATAGTTATGATTTGTTGGAAACACAGCTTCTTGTCCAATCTTGTCCAAAAAATCTTGTCAAATGACCGGTTGAATGATTTATGTTTGTTTGCAGAATACCTGGCGAAATTTGGTATCAAATTCTGGTTAGCTTCCGATGTAAATAGAAAATAAATAGCAAAGATGAAAGGAGTAAAGTTTAGACGCGTGCAGTTCCGAAACTACTAGTGTTTTGTCCATTATTTAACCACCCGTTAGAAGCGGCAAAGCTTCCTCTTTGCAATGCTTTTTGGTTTTTGTCGATCTGATGTTCCGTTTTGGAGATATCGTAATTTACATGAACTCTACTGTTTACTACTCACGCGCGCGGTCATTGACCTCGCGTCGATGTCAACAATGGAAAGTAAACAAACGTTTTGAACCCTCATATCTCCGGATCTAACCACGCGATCGACTCGAAACAAGTCTCATTTTAAAGGAGTTTTCATCCTCTATCCGATGACAATATCAACTCTTATTATTTATGCTGTCTTCTATGTTTATTTTGAAGTCTGCTTTGACTCTATGCGACCCAAGTTTCAGCAATTTCCATTGATTACACGACTGGTAAAACTGGATATGATAAAACTGGATTACAAATTGTATGTTTAATAGAAAATGAATTTAAATTTGTATACAAGTTTCTTTTCACTTAAAGGGTATCACTATAATAGTGTCCCTCGTGGGAGTAACTGCTTAATCTGAGTTTGGGTTCAGAATAATGAAAAAATATTATTGCAGACTGTATGTTCAGAGTTAAAGGGTTTGATGACTTTCAGTGGGCGAAAATCGTGGTCTCCTTGGAGCGCGCGGTATCGCAAAAAGACGCCCAGAACTATTTGCAAGAATACAGTATTAAATTGGGTCCAGGAGACGACCCGAACAACCCAGCGTCCGAACAACGCGGGGTTCTGGTTATTAAAAGTAAATCGAAAACCAAGGCGAAGCAACGCAAGGGCGCCATGGCGAATTGGAAGGTGACGCACTCGTTCCTACGATTCGTTCATTATTATTTAAAAGCACGCGTCATTGATAAATGCACTTTTATAGAAGAAACACAAACAAAATTTTGTCACCGAAGCATTGCAAAAATCCTTTCCAAAATGTCTCGATAAAACTGGTAGCGTTACGATCGTTATACAGGATGTGACATCGGTGGTACAAGCTGATGATTGCCATCTAGATCATTCTAGATCATCATCAGATGATTCTAGATGACAAAACAAATCGAAAATGAAAGTTAAAGGTTTTTCATTTTGGGTTTCGTTGTCGAAAAAATCAATTGTGAATTGATCTCGATAGAAATAGCACCAATGGCGTTAGTGTCAACATGATATACTGTGTTACCTTTGTTTATGGATTTAAAGTAGATTTAATTGAAAATAAGGCATGTAATTTATTTATTAACCCCTTAGCTTACAATGACGTCTCAGTTGGATACTAAATCGTAAGGTAAGGGGTTAAACTAACTTAAGTCATATGTGGCGACGCTTTCCATGCTCGCCACCAGAGGGGTCGCGCTCTCACAAGCGCTCGACCGAATGCAGCGCCACACATACATAAAATTGTTAAAAATTGCCCATTGTGCTACATATATAACTCTCTAATTTAGATATTTATATGAACTAATCGATTCCAATGTATTCTGTATCTGTAATTGTTCAAATGCCAAATAATTCTCACTTTTAATTGAGGAATTCTTACACTCGTTTGTTCTAACATGACTCCATAGGTACAAATCAAGGAGTGTTAAATGTTGGGGGCCATGATTAGTCAAAATTGAAGATACTAACATACTAAGACACCAAATAAAATTATTATAAGTGTTCAGGAAATCATGTCAACATGAACGGAAGTACAAAAAACAATAAAAGCCTGTATCTAAGCCACTAGTTAAATGCTCACGCGCTCCGTGAATATTCGCAGTGGATTTTCTGGACAACGAAACCCCAAATGAAATAATTTTATTCTTCATTTTCAATTTGTTTTTTCACGTAGAATCACCTCCTCTCTTTTTTTTTGCCAATAGTAAAAACACTTAGAATGTTGTTTCCAGGGCTACGAATTTAATTTGTTTTAATTTCGTTGGAGTAGTAGTGGCAGTAGCTTCGTTTGAATTTTCGATTACGTGGGAGTGATCTACTTTTCTGGACCATGTGATTTATACTTACAGCGCGTCGGGAAGGTCACAATAAATGAATTGAGGAAACGTGGCATGACCGGCGAGGAGCTGCGCCGAATAATGTGGGGACGAGCGTCTTTCTCCACACCGGTTAGAGTAAGGTAATATCGTCCACGTTATGATAAAACGTCGATTATGCGAATTAATAGGAAGACAAGCCCCGATAATCGATCCCTCGATTAATCGGACTTGGAGAACCGAAATTGCAACTATGCAACGGAATAACAGCAAACAAAATAACTCTGAAAAATATAAAAGAATAAATGGTAAAGGGTATAGCCGAATAAGGGGGTCAAATGTGCCCTTGAACCAAATGTGACATAAGATGAATCCATCGATAGAGCATCAAGAAAAAACGTTCTGTGCCAAATCTTAACCCGCTATCTTGTTTGGAAGGGTAGTTATTGAGAAAATTCGGATCAACGAATTTCAACCTATTTTCCCTATTTAATCGAGTACAAAAATTATGAAAAAAATCTGGAGCATTGTGGTTATTGAGATACGTGTTTGAGAATTTTGTCCGATTTTTCGATTCCAAATCCTAGGTGTGAAAAATTGAAAACGCAAAAAAACACAGAAAAATACGGATTGCGTATTGAAGATTTCGAGACACTAGATTTCTATAATTACTGTAAATGCGTATTGTCATTGGTTATCTCCCTGAATTTTTTCAGATTTTTTGGTAGGGTGCGCCGTAGTAGCAAAAATCAAAAACCGATTTTTTCGACGTTTTTCGCGAGAAAAAGCATCTTATACTTTGAATTTTTATATTCTCTTTAATAGATAACTATATTGTATGGTTTTAAACATTTCTATGTTGAGCAGAACAGTGTATACAAGAAGAAAATCAAAAATAAGTCACGAAAAAAAAAGCGCTATGCGCGATATATTTATTTGAATTTTTTTTCGAAACTGTGTAGGATTTCGGGGTTATGTCTATTCACCAAAAATAATTGTAATTGACCCCCTTAGCTAGAAATAATTTTTTCAGAACGATTTGAAATTTTTTTTTCGTCGAAAAATTTAGACACCACCACCTGGTTGATTTTTCTTAAAAAATTGTTTTTCATTTTTAATAAATTTGTTTCACGCTCTACAGAAAAAATGTCTAATACTTTTTTATAGGCACCGATGAGCTCTACTTTAGACAAAATTTTCATTGAAATATGTTCACTATTGTAGGAGTTATGGCCGTTTGAAAATTGGACCATTTTTATGGGGTTTTTCTAACTTTACGGGATTAAGGAACAACTTTTTCACTATTGTTATAATGCCTACATATTCTTCACCAAAATACGCGTTATTTGCCGCTTCAAACATTAAAATCCTTCAATACGTTCAGAAGTTATGACATTTCGAAGATTCGCATGAATTGTAGAAAATGTATTAATAATTCTTGAATTTAATTTTCTTATTCTTTCTATAACGAATATTTGAAAGATTTAAATTCCATAAATTTATTGTAAAAAATGTATTAATAATTCTTGAATTTAATTAAGTTTCTTTTTCTTAAATTCTAATAATTTCGATCACCTTTCCTAATTTTAGCAATAGAGTGAACTTTCCAATATTATAAATATTCCACGAGTAAACTAGAAATTATCTCCAAAATTTATTTCCCAATTTCCCGACATCGCTCCTCTTTTCGTATTATTCGTAGTGCAAATGGAACGAGAAATTTTGACTATGTGTTTGTATCTAATATTTGGGAGGCAAATACAAATTTCAAGGTGCAAACAGCATTGATAATTAATTGGATAGCCAACATTCGGATAATCGACGCACCACTGTATGTAAAACAGAGTGATTACGAAAAACGCCATGTACTTCCGTCGTCATCGCTTAATCGGGGAGTATCGACAATATGGTTACTGTCTAATACCGACGACACCAGCTTGTGAAGTTACTACATAGTCGATCTCGAGCTCATGAAACTAGATATTATCTACAGGGTCATGAGACATAATATCGTCGACCCCGGAATCGTATAACCAGAATCCGGTGGCGTTTGGGGTCGTGTAACATGATATCGAACACGTTAGGGTCGTGATTATGATTAGGGGTGCCAGTTTAAAAACATAGACGTTATTCACACCCCTGAACAAAATTTTGATCGCGTCATTTTGCTATCCTCGCGTTTGGGACAAATTATCTACGAAAAGACAAACTTTGGAAAATCTTTTCAAAAGTAAACAACATTTTTATGGTATTTTTGTATCGAGAATTATATCTTTCGCGAAAATATACACAGTTACAAGAGTGAGAATGGAAGTAGATATCGACAGATGTGTGTTTATAGTTGTTGACATATGGAGAAGTATGGTTTCGCGGGAATTTTTTATTTCATTTATTTCGAATTATTTTAAATTCAACTATTCCCCGCTGTATCCGTGACACGAGATAAAATGAAAACAGCGTTTCACCTTTGTGTCTATCATTCATATTCATACGAGGCGACCTAAATTTCGATCCTCATAATAAATCGCGTATTGTTCGAAAATACTATATTCTACAGATGTTTGCTTTCACTTGTAGTATACGCTCGTTCGAATATTCATTCTTCAATTTTCCAAAAATAAAGCAACCCTCATCCATATTAATATATCCGTGTTCTTCGTTTCAAAACTGTTTGAAGCTTTCAAACAGATATTGTTGCACGCTTCACGGTTATCGTTTATTTAATTTAACCGCGAGGCGTTCGTTAAGTCAGCCCGATACAAATTGAAAAGTAAATTTCAAGAAACTGTATTCACTCTAGCTTGAGACATTGGAAAATAATTGACGAATACTGTTTGTGTGTTGGCCACAATATTGCTTTAAATTACCGTTTTTAAAATTCCGTTCAGAATTTCACACGATATTATTTTAACGGTATCTAACTTCTAAAAAAAATTATTTCTAGGTTCTGGAGTCAAATGCAACCATTTTTGGTGAATAGACATACCCCCGAAATCCTGCGTAATTTCGAGACAAAAATTCAGAAAGGTGGACAAATTTTTCGGCGAAAAAAATATTTCAAACCGTTTTGGAAAAATTATTTTCGATTGCGGGGGTCGATAACGATCATTTTTGGTGAATATATATATCACCGAAATCCTGCGCATTTCCGAGAAAAAAATTCAGGAATGTGGACACATTTTTCGGGGAAATTGAAAAGTTTCGAATCATTCTGGAAAAAATATTTTTTGTTGCGGGGGCCAATTACAATCATTTTTGGTGATTAGACACACCCCCGAAATCCTACCCATTTTCTAGAAAAAAATTCGAGAATGGGTGAAATTTCAAGTTATTAAAAAATAAAATTGAAAAATTTCAAAGCGTTCTGGAAAAATTATTTTCGATTACAGGGGTCTATTAAGATCGTTTTTGGTGAATAGACATACCCCAGAAATCCTGCGCATTTTCGAGAAAAAAATTCAGGAAGGTGGACAAATTTTTCGTGGAAATTGAAAAGTTTCGAATCATTCTGGAAAAAATATTATTAGTTGCGGGGGTCAATTACAATCATTTTTGGTGATTAGACACACCCTCGAAATCTTAACCAGTTTCGAGAAAAAAAATTCCTCACCGAAAATACAATGTCTGACCATATATTGGCACGTTTCACTGAAATTTCATGCGTATGTTTAAAACGTCATAACTCCTGAACGGATTGGACGATTTTAATGTTTAAAACGGCAAACAACGCGTATTTTAGTGGGGAATATGTAGAAATTCCAAAAATATTCGAAAAATTGTTCCTTAATCCCGTAAAATGAGAAAAGCCCCATAAAAATGGTCCAATATTCAAACGTCCATAACTTCTACAATAGTGAACATATCTCAATGAAATTGAGTATGGAAGTAGAGCTCATGGATACCTACGAAAAAGTACTAAACAATTTTTCCGTACGGTGTCAACCAAATTTATTAAAAATCAAAAACGAATTTCTTTTCTAGGAAAAATCGATAGGTTGGATAGGTGCCTAAATTTTTCAGGGAAATTAAAAAGTTTGAAATCATAATGGAAAAATTATTTTCGTTTGCGGAGGTCAATTTCAATCATTTTTGGTGAATAGACATACCCCTGAAATCCTGCGCATTTTCGAGAAAAAAATTCAATAGGGACGGAACTTTAAACATTAATAACTTTTGAACGAAGCCTCCATCAACAAAGTAGTATTCTTGATTTTCGTCTTATTTTGGCCTCTAGAATCTCCCACTACAATAAGTGATTCACAATAAATGAGAAAAACTTATTTTTTATAAATTGTATTATTATTTTGAAACTAGTTTTATGTTTAAATAAATTAACAAGAAAATTCAATGTTTTTAAAGGTTTTGTAATTGAACATTGCTTGCCAGTTAATATTTAAAAAAAAACACTGAAGAAAATAATAAAGTAAATAACACGGTGTAATAAATAAATTTGGGGAAAATAAAAATTCATAAAAAACAAATTTCATTTCATTTATAGCGAATCACCGTTATAGCGTAACTGTATTTAAATGGAACATTACGACTATAATCGAAATCGAGTGAAATTTCGAAGATATAACGATCACTGTTATTGTTTGCATAGTAGGAACGTAGACGAACCGGAAATTTCAGCGGTGACCGCTGGTTTCGGGGATGCACTGACTACAGCTCTGGATATGATGGCTTTTACCCATGATCTGGACTTGACCGCAGCCACGGAAGGGATTCCGACCAATATCGATGCGAAACAACAATCGAAATCGAAGACTCCGAATAACGATCAAACGAAACCGACTCCGAGTAATCAAGAGAAAGTGTCGACGACGGTCGAACCACCGGCGAAACTATCGAACGAGATCGCGAACAAGCTACAGAACGACCGAACCGATCTGAATCTGAAGTCGAACGAGACTGCAAGCGTACAGAAAACAAACCTGAAAATCGCGAGCCGTAAGTAAAAAAGTAACAATGGAAACGCAGAGAAGAACCACAATGGGGGATTTAAACATATTTTTATAGCATCGATATATTTAAGCTTCAAGTCGAGTCTTGTGTCGAGATACCATCGACGTATTTAGGATCCTCAAATGATTTCAAACATGTTCAAACATACATACGTCTACAGTATCAATACCTATCAATTATATCGAGTTTAATACCCGTTTAATTAAACTCACCACTCGTAAGTTACGAGAACTATAAAGGATGGTCGACGAACAGTATGAATGCTAAATATATAATTAACTGACTTTTTAATTTGATTTGGTGAATCGCTTAAACTTTAGAAAAAATAAACAATTTATTTCAACACCCTTTCGATTCTTATCGTTATCGAATTTCAAATTATATGAATCTTATAAATTAATAAATTTAAAATAATTTAAACTCGACTTCTGTCTTAAAATCACCCATATTTTCTTTTTGTCCATTTGTAATTAAAAAAATTCATTTATTTGTAATTCATTAAAAAAAAAAAAAAAACAGCTTGTATTAGACGATGTGTCACCGTCGAGAAACATTGTTTTAAACAATTATTATCGTGAGAATCGAGAACGCGAGTCACCTTCTATTTGGCGTATAATTTTACATGGCTAATTACAAATTATTGGTACAGTTAGGAATAATTAACACGACCGCCGCCACTAAACAATTCGAAATCCGCGCGCCACAGACCACGCTACATTTGTAATTATTTTACTTAACGTGGAGCATGCTTTTAATTATGTACAAATAACATGCATTAAATAGGCCAACTGAATGCTCCGAATCTATTGTCACGCGTAATATAACTTCATTTGTTTACTCGAATATAATATAAACAATCATTGAAACGTTCATTTCAATGTTTCAGCTTTTATTTGATAAAAAAAAAATATTTCTTATCGCGTGATTTTTCATAATTTTATATTTTTATTTCTTTATCCAAGCTTCAGAATCAAACCAAAGTGAAATGCGTTACAAGTTTCACAAAGAGAGCTTTTTTAATTCTACTATTGCATAATGCAATCCTCGTTTAAACAGACCTTATAAAAACAATATTTTCAAATATCCATATTTGTCCTAGATTCGACCACGGCCGAGGATTTCCAGGATCCTCTTTTGAATCTTGTGATTGCCTCCGAAAGTACGACTGATCCCGAAACGTTACTGGAAATAGCGCAACGTGCCGTGGCGAGCGTCGAAGCTCCAGCTAGCTCGAAAATAAACCTGGAAATTTTGGAGCAATTCACTATGACCAAGATAACCGCCGACGAGCAACCAATCGTCGCCAAGAAACAATATTTCGTCGAATCCAGCGACAACGATTTTGGCGGTAAAATTCCTTAATTTCGATAAATTTCATTTTAAATTCTTAAATCGATCGACCAAATCAAATTTACTCAAACAAGAATTTTTAGGGTAATTCAAACGTTACACCTTTTTCTTTATAATAGTAATAATTTTTACAGTCTTATAAATGTCATTAAAAATTCAAAGCACGTGATAAAGATAATAATCTTAGGTATCTTACTTTAAGTATTTCTTATATTTTTGCATATTAAATGCATTCTGTAGTTTTCTGAGGATTAAAATTTCCCATAAATGCATAAACATCCGCAGTCTACTAATAACAAATTAAGTTGAGCCACGTAAATGTTCGCAAGATTTCGTTCTTGATTTTGTATCGTTTTCGCTGTAAAAATTTGTTTTGTGATAGAAAATGTTTGGAACGTTAGAGGAGAGACTACGATGGTATTTTTCAACCAAATTAATGTGTCGTCGCGTGAACGGGAGTCACTGAAATTCGATCCGAATGATAAATAGTAAAGACGACCGTAGTTTTTGACGCATACCCTGGTTATCCCCGTTAAGAAAACTGATCGTCTTACCGTAGGGGACAACTTGCTCGGAACCGAGGCACGTCTCCGCAGAATAAGATCAGCGAACAACAGATTTATCACGACGCGGAGGCGTTCACGGCACGGCGACGACGACCTGTCATCTACGTCTTCCACATCCGCCGACGGAAATCCTCGATACCAGCCGTTGCTCAACGATCCCGAAGGGAATCCGTCGAACCGTCAAATTGAAGATCGTGATGCTACGGACGAAACAATTAAATCGCAAGTAAAGCAGAATGGAACGTCGTCTGGGAGCAAGATCCAAAAGCGTCGTCCGAAAACTGCTAAAAACAGGTACGGGACATGTTCGATTAATCCTATTTCGATCGTTTCCATCGTAGACATTTGAGGACCAAAAATAATTCCACTTCTAAACTAATAGTGGAACGGTGGAACTAAATTTCTCGTCGAGTGTCAGAATTGGACTCGGTTCGTTGTATTGTACAGTAATGATTTCTAAAATGGACCCCAGTGATTCGTAAATTGAACCCCAATGATTCGTAAATTGAACCCCAATGATTCGTAAAATGAACCCCAATGATTCGTAAAATGAACGTCAGTGATTCGTAAATTGAACCCCAATGATTCGTAAATTGAACGTTCCTATGTCTCCTAATAACTTGAGGGAGCCTTCGATCCCCGATTCTGGAATATTTTATTAAAAAGATGATCAACATGATACACTGATACGATAATAAGGTGTCCAATCCTAAAAAATGGATCCAAACATTACTATATATGGTTTAGGGGCGTAAAATTCAAGTGTTTTAAGGACCTTATCATTTCCAATTATCTTGCATTACTGTCTCAAGTAACTCCAGGTCTTCCTTGTCCCTAATACAATAATGATTCTTAAAATGAACCTTCTAATTCGTAAATTGAACATTTCTATCCTTCCCAATTGGGGTCCAGTGAAACATAAAACAGTGGCCATTTGAAAACCACAGATTATTAATTCTACAAAGATGTTCTTTAAAATATCTTATTATAATAATTATTAAATAATTAAATAATTTAATACTGTATGATTAATGTGTACCATCAAATGCATTAAGTTTTCACTGAATTAATGTAAATAATTACAGTAAAGTTGTACCGAAAAATGAACTTACCAATCCTGGTTTGATGTTCATTTTACGAATCATTAGTGTCGTTGCATGGCATAGCTATTTGCACCACAGAGTAATGGGATGTAGCCGCGTTGACAAGTGAATCTCGTTAACCAGGATGAAATTTATTCTTGTCGATAGGATTATTGATGGGCAATAAGGTCGGTACAAATAATTTTACACTAATTTCCGTATTTCGAACGATGCAAATAACGTGTCAACTCGAGCTAAACTAGAAATATTCTCACAAAAAACCCCCAATTATTACAAATTAAAAAAAAAATTTCACCACAGTCGACACAGTTTTTGGCTACTTCGGTACCATTTTCCAATTTCTCGATCATTTCAGATTTATTTCTTAATGATAATATAAGTATTGTCTACACTTCAACACAGACAGCACAATTGTTGATGACAAAATTTTTCCTGGTGATTTTGGAACAAAAATGATTAAATTATATTTAAAATTTAGTTTGTCACCAATGGCCCTGAGATCACTTGGGTATCAATTTCTCCTAATTTTGGTCAGTTTGTTCGGGATTTTAACAATCCTAAAAAAGGTTAACAATTTCAGATTTATTTCTTAATGATAACATAAATATTGTTGTACACTTCAACACAGACAGCACAATTGTTGATAACAAAATTTTTCTTGGTGATTTTAGAGCAAAAATGAGCAGACAATTATATTTAAAATTTAGATTGTCACCAATGGCCCTGAGATCACTTGGGTACCAATTTCTCCTAATTTTGGTCAGTTTGTTCGGGATTTGAACAATCCTAAAAAAGTTTAACGATCCTAAAAAACAATCCTAAAAGTAGAATCCACTAAATTGCCGGGCAACACTAACGGTAATATGGTTGATGATGCGCTGAACCCAAAGGACCGTAGAGCTACCGGTTGGCAATCGACCAAAATTAAAGCGATGGCTCTGTCAGACACATACGCAACTAACGGAGGATTAAATGTACATAAATGACGATTGAAGAGCTGGCCAGTGGGTGGACAATGAAATCAGAACTGTTTGTTGGTTGTCAGTTATACTGTTGGTTTTCAAGAGTAGTTCGGAGTTTGCATGGAGTTGTTTAATGAAATTGTAGAGTTATCTTCTATATCTGTACTATTACAGTAAGTTACACTCGTAACAACTTACACGACCTTTCTTTGTACGACTTTTGTTAATTAATTCTAATTTGATAAAAAAGGTAGTTACAGAGAAAACTCGTTTATCGAGGTTTGAGTACAATTCTATCAATCGACTGAATTGCACGATGAATTCTTAAATCTTCAATTCCTGTCTTTATATACCTAAATCAACTTTAATACTAATTTGATAAAAGAAGTAGTTTAATGAGGTTTGAATGGAATTCTATCAAAACATTAGATATTCTTTCGATCAACAAAGTTGCACGATGAATTTTAAAGTGTTCGATTTCCAGGGAAAAGATCCAATTAGTTATAATGCAATACGTGCCACGCAGTTTCTGGTAAAATTCAGTTCTTCTATAATTTATGGAAAGGGAAGCTATTCCGAGAGTTTTCTCAACTCGTCGGTGACTTCTACTTCATCGATTATACAGAGTGATTCCGCGAATCGAAGAAAGGTATAGTTTTCTTTGAAGCGAAAATGGAATAAATTTGACAGATAAAGGTGTTGTATCGTTTAATGACATCCGGTCCTCCTTTGATCGTATTCTTTTATAAACGCGGCCATCTACCCGCAAAATGGGAATTGTAATGTTTCCAATCAAACCGTATAGGTTTTTAAATATAAACCGATTCATACCGCCACTCCACGTATAAAGGAAATAAAGTAATTACGTCGAACATTGAACACTTTGGTAGACATTTCAAACGTTCTAGCGTTCAATGGAAACTGTCGATATTGTATTTCCGATATACCATCCTGTTTTCGCATATTGTTTACATTTCATGACAATTGAATGTACGTTTCAATTAGTAACTGAACTCGATCTCGAGGGGAGTCTGAGATAATTATCAGGCGTAGTGTCTGTTTCAACTTCGAGGACATCTTGCAATCAATTCATGGTACTAACTTGCTGGTTTCGAGACCCGAAATGCCTTGCCAAACATTTGTCTTTTACGATCTATGAGATTTGGTTATTAAACAAATTTATTCGTTATTCGGATATAAAAACCAAATTTCATGATTATATCGTAAAATACAGGAGACCTTAACCCTAATTATTTCTCAAAAAAAATTAATTCTACGCCACGATGAAGGTATTTTTCAAACAATTTTCACGCGATCTTGTAAACATAAAAGAAACGTGTGAACTTTGTGAAAACTTTTTTCAAATATTCTTCAAACGAAGATATTTAACAAAAAAGACACTTAAGGGTTGATTTCACCCTCTAAAAGTAAATTATGGCACGAACGAGAAAAGGTACGTGTCATGATTTACTGTACTTGTGCACAAAGTTTCGTAATTTTTTCAAATTTACGAGTTCCTTTTCCCATCAACACAAATATTTATTATAAATTTTATTCTACACTCTCGACTCATATTTTCGCGAGGAATCACGGAATAATGGATACACCCTGTATAAAATAAACACGATATTCCTGGAACGAAAACAAATGAAACATTTCATCAGTTTTTCTTGAGTTTGAAAATACTCATTTTATGACAGCAATAAAAATACAAAAATAAATGTTTGTTTCCCCGAAAATAGTGACCTGGTCCAATAGTGTGCAATTGTTTAAATTTCACTGCAATCCTGTTCATCAAAATGAACGTGTTCCTGGATATACATGAAAAATTGTGAAAAGAAAAACCGGAAATCATGTTCAGTTTGTCAGTAACTTTTATTTCGAACAAATATTGATTTGTACACGCGCCATTGAGCATTTATGCAATACGTTATACGCGGAAAATTGATGAAAAATCAACAAATATGAACCGCCATCCACGTACGAATCGATATATGCCGCGTAACTTGACCACTCGCGCCGTTTTTTGTTGTTAATCGGCGAATCAATATTTGTTACCGCGAATAGCAACTTTTAATCAATTCTACAACGCAATAACATTAGGTTTTTGGATGCCTCAAGTTATAAAAATCAATTTCTATTTTTCATTCCTGTTATTTAACATTTAAGCAAATATTCACGAATAACGAATAAAAATTTCAGATCGATTCCCAAAGAAACTTTCTTTGATTTTGCACGAAATGTAAACGAAAGTTTGCGAATTATTCTAAAATTTTTATTCGTTATTCGCGAGTAAAATTTGCCCAACTCATACGTTATATTTATCTTCAGATGATCTATAAGACTCTTAATAAACATTTTGAACTTCACATTCTAGTAACTCAAGGGGAAAATTAAATTATCAACATGTTTGTTTCGAAAAAGTGATAATGTTGAGATACAAATAAAATTTGCCCAACTCATACGTTATATCTATCTTCGAATGATCTATAAGACTCTTAATAAACATTTTGAACTTCACATTCTAGTAACTCAAGGGGAAAATTAAATTATCAACATGTTTGTTTCGAAAAAGTGATAATGTTGAGATACAAATAAAATTTGCCCAACTCATACGTTATATCTATCTTCGAATGATCTATAAGACTCTTAATAAACATTTTGAACTTCACATTCTAGTAACTCAAGGGGAAAATTAAATTATCAACATGTTTGTTTCGAAAAAGTGATAATGTTGAGATACAAATAAAATTTGCCCAACTCATACGTTATATCTGTCTTCGAATGATCTATGAGACTCTTGATAAACATTTTGAGAGTCACATTTTAGTGACTCAAGGGGAAAATTAAATTATCAACATGTTTGTTTCGAAAAAGTGATAATGTTGAGATACAAATAAAATTTGCCCAACTCATACGTTATATCTATCTTCGAATGATCTATAAGACTCTTAATAAACATTTTGAACTTCACATTCTAGTAACTCAAGGGGAAAATTAAATTATCAACATGTTTGTTTCGAAAAAGTGATAATGTTGAGATACAAATAAAATTTGCCCAACTCATACGTTATATCTATCTTCGAATGATCTATGAGACTCTTGATAAACATTTTGAACGTCACATTTTAGTGACTCAAGGGGAAAATTAAATTATCAACATGTTTGTTTCGAAAAAGTGATAATGTTAGGATACAAATAAAATTTGCCCAACTCATACGTTATATCTATCTTCGAATGATCTATGAGACTCTTGATAAACATTTTGAGTGTCACATTTTAGTGACTCAAGGGGGAAATTAAATTATCAACATGTTTGTGATAATGTTAGGATACTGTTATGAACATGACAGAAATTGTTCGATAAAAATCGATGGAATGCTGCCTGAGAACCCGTTTATTGCATAATGCGCCCGATTGATCACCGAATAAAGCAATCTCTGTTAAATGAATCGTGGAAATTCCGCAGAATTTCCACATGACGTTTTCATATGGGGATATCTATTCCACGGAGAATGGAAGTCCTTTCTCGAGGATGTGGCATCTAAGCGTACTTGGCTCGCTAGTTGCGTTTTAGGGGAGTCAAAGCAGATGCATACTGCGTCTCGTGAGCTACGAGACAATACTGCACATAGGCCAATGGCTGATATTATTTAGTATAATAGTGACTGGAACACAGTTTCGCCCACCCAAGGAAGACCTTTCATACTCTGTATATTAATAGCCCTATCGTTGTAGTTAATTATCCTTTAACTCGAGAATTAATTAATACAAAAATATTCAAGAAATGGGGCAACCACTAATCAAACGGTCAAGGAAAAATTACACATGCTCCCACCCATAAATATCAACTAAAAGTAATCTTTTGTATCGTTCAATTTTTTCAAATTTATTTCCTGAAATGGAATTCTATATTATTTAATGCATTATTTGGCGCAACGCGTCGTCTTCTAAATAGTTTGCAAGATATTTTAATTATAATATCGTGGATGGTGGCATTGCAAGTACATTATTAAAATATTAAATAAAAATATCTCCTAAACAAATGATTTTTCACCATGATTCAATACTTTTGTATATAAAATTATGATTCCCTGAAATTATTCAACTCTTAGATGATTTTGGTATTATTAACAGTTTTGTTTATGAAAAAGGGCTGAGGTACAACAATGTCGTTAAAGTCTTTTATTATTATCTTGTGTATTTGTTTGATATTATCTATTAGTGCCTCCCACTCATATTCGTGCACTATAATGGTGATTCACATTCAGCATGAGAAACTCTACTTACCGACGCATCGACAGATTTACAGTTTTGTGAATGAGAACCACTATCATGCGCGCGCAGCTGTCCGCAGATCGCCGTTCTACAGGCGGACCTTTAAACATTAATAACTTTTTAACGAAGCCTCGATCAACAAATTGGTATTCTTCATTTTCGTCTTATTTTGGCTTCTAGAATCTCCCTTTAAATTTTCCCCAGATTTGGTATCAAATTTTATACGAATATTAAACATAGGAACTAGAATTCTATAAAAATGTTCATTTTGCTTACTTTTTACGGTCCAACAGCCTAAAGAAAACATGTGAAATTATCAATAACTATTCAGGGAATCTCAATTTTTTTTAAATCTTCTCTACTCGAAATGTCAGATGTGCACTATACAAAATTATAAAATATTATTAACAAATCGATACATAGTCAAATCTGATGTTCCCTTTTCGCAAAAAATTTGTAATTTCAAGGTCGACGGAACGAAATGTTGAAATCATTGTCAGAAACGAATATTCAGGGTCTCGTTGGGGAGATTTTAATATTCACTTCAGGGAATCTTAATTTTTTTTAAATCTTCCTACTCGAAATGTCAAAATTATAAAATATTATTAACAAATCGATACATAGTCAAATCTAACGTTCCCTTTTCGCAAAAAATTTGTAATTTCAAGGTTGACGGATCGAAAGGTTGAAATCATTGTCAGAAACGAGTGTTGAAGGTCTCGGTGCGAGAGATTTTAATATTCACCGGTTTTCTTGAACGAAGGAAGAGAAAAACGAAATGTCTTCGTTCCAGTGAATCGCCAGATCCGAAAATCCGTTTACTTATTCTCGATTGAAATTTATGTTTATGCCCAGTCCCAAGAGCGTCGTCGGATTGACCGTTCGTTTAATAGTTCTTGTTCTGCACGATGCATGCACACAGGGTATCGCCGAAGGAAATCGAGGAGCCTGCACGGAGGAGAAGAGAATCGATCGAGCGGAATAAGGCGGTTTCGCCACCGACGTCGCCCACGGATCCGCTCGAGCCATGGAGCACACGTGACATTAAGGACATGAACACGATATTGGCTTGGGAGGAAAATGTGTCGGACAGTCCTTAACGAAACTTTACGATATTATACGCAGCTCTGGTTGCCTTCCTGACCGATCGTCCGGCAAAAAGGAAGTCGAACCCGTTCTTGCGGAATCTGGAACCCCGAAACGCATCCGAGTAGCTTTAGAAGGCGTTGTCGAGGAATTTGGCAAGAATTAGCCAGGGAAACTGCACTATTTCAACCCCTCAGGTACGACGAATCTTTCGGTCTCAAACGATACCATAAAGCTTCTCATTTAAATTTTTAACGATTTTTTAAACAGTCAAAAATGTTGGAATTTTATTGAAGAATTACAAATAACTATTGTAAATTGTCAGTGATCTTTAAAGGGCTCAAAGATATTAAAAAGATTTCATTTATGAGTGTCGAATAAGTATTATAAATTTTCAGTGATTTTTTAAAGGGCCAAAGATATTGGAAAGTTTTTATTTGCGAATAATAAATAACTATCATAAATTTTCAATGATTTTTTAAACAGTTCGAAAGAACGTTGGATAGATTTTATTTTTGCGAATAACAAATAGGTAGTGTCAATTTTCAATGATTTTTTAAACAGTCAAAAATGTTGGATTTTTATTCAAGAATTATAAATAATTATTGTAAATTGTCAGTAATTTTTGAAAGGGTCAAAGATATTAAAAAGACTCTATTTGTGAATATCGTATAAGTATTATAAATTTTCAGTGATTTTTTAAACAGTTAAAAATGTTGGATTTTTATTCAAGAATTACAGATATAATTATTGAAAATTGTCTGTGATTTTTGAAATGGTCAAAGATATTATAAAGACTATTTGTGAGTTTTGAATAAGTATTATAAATTTTCAGTGATTTTTGAAACAGTCAAAAATGTTGAACTTTCATTCAAGAATTACAAATAATTATTGTAAATTTTCAGTGATTTTTTAAAGGGTCAAAGATATTAAAATATTTTATTTGTGGGTATCGAATAAGTATTATAAATTTTCAGTGATTTTTTAAAGGGCCAAAGATATTGGAAAGATTTTATTTTCGATAACAAATAACTATTATAAATTTTCAGTGATTTTTCTGGTGATTTTAGAACAAAAATGAGCAGACAATTATATTTAAAATTTAGTTTGTTACCAATGGCCCTCAGATCACTTGGGTATCAATTCAATTTTCACATAAATATAAAGACTCCTAATTTTGGTAAGTATTATAAATTTTTAATGATTTTTTGAAGAGTCAAAGATATGAAAAAGATTATATTTTTGAGTATCAAGTAAGTATTATAAATTATCAGTGATTTTTGAAAGGGTCAAAGATATTAAAAAGACTCTATTTGTGAGTATCGTATAAGTATTATAAATTTTCAGTGATTTTTTAAACAGTTAAAAATGTTGGATTTTTATTCAAGAATTACAAATATAATTATTGAAAATTGTCAGTGATTTTTGAAATGGTCAAAGATATTAAAAAGACTATTTGTGAGTATCGAATAAGTATTATAAATTTTCAGTGATTTTTCTGATGATTTTAGAACAAAAATGAGCAGACAATTATATCTAAAATTTAGTTTGTTACCAATGGCCCTGAAATCACTTGGGTATCAATTTTCACATAAATATAAAGACTCCTAATTTTGGTCAGTATTATAAATTTTCAATAATATTTTAAAGATTCAAAAATGTTGTGAAAATTTTATTTTGCGAATAACAAATAACTATTGTAAATTTTCAGTGATTAAAAGGGTCAAGGATTTTGGAAAAATTTTATTTGCAAATAACGAATGAGTATTTTAGATTCATTCGTAAACCCACTCTTGCCCCCAGCAATCTGTTAATATATTTTAATTCATGAAACATAAACAGAAATTAGTTTAGAAATGAATCTAAAAATTCTGTTCGTTATTTTGAGGTGATAAAATTTGATTCTTAAATAAAAAAGTAAATGGTTGTCGACAACCAACGAAGGTTTTTGGATCGTCGTACTTGAAGGGTTGAATCATAACTCTTTCACACTCGTGAACGAGATAGAAATACGAATTTAGGGGATGATAACTATCCCTCAACGTTAGAAGCCGAAAGAATATTCGAATAATTCGAAAACAAATAGAGATAGGAGATAACATTAAGAACGAAACTTCCTCGATTTTCTACTAGGAGTAAGAAGCGCGAGATCTCTGCGTAATTATAAAATGTTCGACTTGTAGTCAGGGAATTCACATTTTTAATAAATATTTCTTGTACAACCTTACTTTGTTGGATATTATTCGACGCTGTCCATAATCCACTTCTCATGGCACCGCATTCCCGTTTACCCGGTGCACTGTACGCCAAGCAATTCGTCATTTGTCACGAACTGTGGTTTCTGCATACAGGGTGTCCCGAAATCGCACGATAACTCGAAGCAATCGAAATCGTAAAGTTTCTTCGGCATTTTCTCGTTTGGTGATATCTTTAATACCTTCACCGCGAGCTATTGAACTATAAAATTTTGTTACCGTGCAAATTAAACGTGCTCAGCAGTTCTAACATCGCTTTATTGCCAGGGAAACCATAAACTGGGAATCCTTGGCCGACCTTGCATCACATTTGTCTCTGACCAAGCGTTGATCCGTTGAAACGATTCTTAAGGAGAGAAAACTGTTCCTTTCTTACAAATTTTTGAATTATTATCGATATTTAACAAATTTTTATAATCAGAACAGAGTTGAATTTCAACGCAAATAACACTTCAATTCATTTTTGTAGCATCAATCTTAGCAGGCTACTTTCAGCTGTATTATTTCACTAAATTCACGATTTTATAATTTGTAATATATATAATATATTTTCAATGTAAGAAATTAGAAAGGAAAGTGTATTATTTAAAAATATTTTAAAATACACATACTTTAATTTCTCATAGCTTGGATTAAATAAATCCAGCATTATAATTGTCAAACCAGGGTCAAATAATTATTTTTTGCAAATAGAAAATAATAGGAATTATTCTGTTAATTATACTTGTGAAACCAAAACCGAATAATTATTTTTTACAAATAGGAAATAATTCCTACAAAATTCTTATTATTTCCTATTTGCAAAAAATAATTATTTGACCCTGGTTTGACAAGTATAATTAACAAAATAATTCCTATTATTTTCTATTTCTAAAAAGTAATTATTTCTCTCTAGTTTGACAAATATAATGCTAAATTTATTTAATCGTATAAATAAATAAAAAATTAGAAATAAATGGAAAGACAGGTTGATCATAAAGTACACAAACAGCTGTTTAGAATTAGTCGATCAGTGTAATTGGTTGGTTTTGAAAACGAGTAATTGCAGGAACGTTAAAATAATAATTGCATATTTGATGTCCCGCCATCATCTTATTCAGGTACGCAGCTCGTAAGTACGTGTCGAGTGTTAATCATCAGTCTCGTTTGGAACAACTTTCGTCGCCGACGAACGCATCAGCGATTAAAGGAAGGAGCTTTCCTCGGAGGCATCAGCTTGTTACGTAAACTTTATCAGGGACCAAATGATCTTCCCCTAGCGTGTACGTGCCGTTCACGCGGGCAGACACAAGAAGGGAATTAATTCGTTTTACGATCAACAACGACAGTTCCCGCAATTAACGCAGCTCGCGCGAAAGATATTTCAACGCGTTAAAGAAAGTCCGTCAATTAAGCTCTCAGAAACGGTGCAAAGCGGTAACGTTAGCGCGAGCAAAGGGTCGCAATAGCATGCAACAGCAATTAGTCCTCTTATCGGGGGCAATTTCATTAATAAACTGTGTTGCTGCTCCATTTTTACCGTGCTCGAAGCAACGAAGGGCGCGACCGGTTATCCCTAATGCGTTGCTCGGATTTATTGCAAAAATTGAAATAATCTCCTATTGGCTGTGCTCCATTTCTTTCAAGGAAGCCATTTGTAAAAGAACAGAATGGTAACGATAAGAAAAATAAACTATTTTTAAGCCACTGTGCATTATTAAATGTTTGGAAAAACTTACTACTTAAAAGGAAATACTTACTTCAGTCTTAGTATTTTATTATTTTTGTGATTGCAATATTTAGGCATAGGGGAATTTATTGAATTGGTAATTATTCACTTTATAGCGATTCCTCACCAATTTCGATTGACCTTGAAATATGTTTTCAAGGTAAAACGAGATAAAATATTAAACTTCATTCTTTATTATTATTATCATCAAAAAATGCAGGTATTCTTGCATTAAAATCATGACAATTAACGACAAATAATGTATACCACCAGGAATCACCAAGGACCTTCAGTCAAGTGACCCTAATTTCTAAAATAATTAATATTTTTCTACATAAATAATTGTGGATATTCCTTGAACATAGATTTAAATATATCTACTTAAAGTTAATGCAAAAATCTTTTTTCCTCGAAAAAATTCGTGAGAGGCTTTAGAAAATTGCGTTCTGGAATAAAATGCCCCCTTAAGAAATCCCGGGTCCCTGAGAACAATGTTGCTAGCAAACTTCGTTAATAACTGCACCCCCCCTTTCTCCCGTAGGACTTTTCTTCGCGAAAGGTATATATTTACGATCGTTTAGGCGGCCAATTATCCTCCGTTTAATTTTTATTCGGGCGCGGATCGAAGTTTCTTCCCGGCGTATCGCTCCCCCGACGGAAACCCTATAACGCGTAAACGGGACCGACAACTCTGGCAAGTTGGACGATTCTTGGGATGTTCAGCAGCACGTGTTTTCATTTCGTTATCCCGGCCGCTCCTTCCCATATCATTACTGTTTCAATACGCGCGGGAGGCGGAAAGTTTCCGAGGCGGTGAACCACGCTGAGCGTATCTCGTTCCTTTCCTTTTCTCTGTTCTCACGGTTGCGTCGGAATGGAAATCGGGCGAGTACAAAAGAACACTACGGCCGGGAACGAATAACCGAAATTTTACGTTCCGTCCGACACCTCTTGATTCCAATTTTTACGAACGGAATGAAAGGAACGACGACAAGTTACAACCTGTGAAGCCATTAAGCTTTCAAAAATTATCTAATTACCTAAGTTGTGTTTGAAAAATTACCTAAAATACTTTATTAGTGTCATAT